AGCTATAAATCAACGGTGTTGTAACGGTAACATTCTAGAATGATACACGCATCTAATATTCATATATTTGTGTAATATGTAAATAATTTCAGCGTTTATGTACGCAATTGTAGGCACCATGTCGACTTATCGCGGAGAACAATTCTTGTCCTATCTAAAATACCTTACCCTTGCCAATGAAACGTTGACCCGTTCCGTTATCATCTCATTAACCTTGACAGCAATCGCTTGTTTTTTCTCTCGGCCACGGGCTGCACAGAAACTTTCGCGCCTTTTTAGAGTCTCATTTTTCTGTTCTAGAAAATTGCGGTGCAAACGCATAACTTGCCACGACAACAAACAGTAATTTTTAACTTTGTTAAATAAGTTTGTTGATGTTCGAGATACAATCGACGTTTAGACTTGTATCTAAACCAACGATACCGATAGTCACGAAGTGCTATTACCAAACGAAAGTAGACTCATTAAGCCATGCCAGCCGAAGGAAACGCAATGAGAGCACGGTAAGTGCCACACGCATCATCAGGTCGAAAAAGCAGAAAGTTAACAAATTCGATACCAGTTATTAAAATAATTCACTAGACAGACGATACAGGGCGAAATCCGTATTGATTTCAATAGATTTTACAATTTGTTATAGTGATACAAGATGGAACGTTTGATTGAGCGGGACATAGTCTATGTTTGTGGTAAATAACAGGGAATGTAAATGCATATTCAGAACAATCGTCATGCCATGAACCGAAGTTCCAATTATGAGCTCGATGAACTTATATGTGTAATTTGTATAGGTACTGTGTCAGTTACCTTCGCGCAGATTCACTAGATGCGCCAAGTGGCAAAAGCGTCCTTGCCAGCTATGGTAAACAATTGATTGATGTGATGTACGCTTCCAATTTTTGATGTAGATAGTAATTTTCTCTTTTTAAAAGCTTCAACAAATTTTTGCCAACAATTTAGCTTCCACAAGCTGTTTGTCAACTGTTATCATCTAAACTGATACCGATAAAATTCTATATATATATATATATATATATATATATGGGTACGTGTTTAATATTTCTGATTTTTCCACCTGTTAGCGTAGGTAATATAGCAGGCAGATTGCGCACTTATAAATTCAAAGGATTGTTTCATTCTAAATTATTTAATATTCAACATTTTCCAACACGGGCCAGATTGTGCAACAATTCAACAACATAACGAAGTAAAGCTAACCTAGTTTGAGAATCTTTTGTCGTTCGATGACGTACTACAAATGCTTTTTAAATTTAACAAACGTGCCCCAAATTCCACATAATTAAACTCTCACTTAACAAATCTATCAGCTGGGCGCTATCCGGCTCTATGAGATAAAAGTACCTTTGTAGAAAACGATTCGGCCGACACTAAAAACACTCAGTTGTTAATCACAAACAATAGAAATAACAATAGCATTTATTGATTTCAATGTGGTTTATCGTTTCAATGATACATGATAATTACCTGTTGATTTCTTCTTTCGTCAGTTGGATAAACCTTTCATTCTGCACTCTCATCACGAACAACAAAAACCAGTACGAGCATTCTCTAACACTATAAAGTGCGTACATGCACGATCTGTGCAGAGCTAAAAACGATGCAGCTTAGGTCGTGACGGACACAGTCTACAATAGATCATCGTACGACACAAATTTAAATAAAAGTCATTATTCCTGACGATTGGCTATCACAAACACATGCACACGTACACACAAACACAGATACAACTCGAAAAAAATCACATATGTACACCCATTCGGTAAATTTAATCAATCGACAATAAATGTGCTATCGGCTGATTTGGTTGACAGTGGTAGATTGCCAGAAATGATCCGTTTGTATACTATTATTTCTTCAACGAAGGGAAATTTGTAGTATTACTAGTTGAATACGTATTAATACATCGGACGGTCCTGGAACGCAGGGACAATTACACGTTGGTAATAGATGCGGTGTCGGATGGACGATAGCAGCTGTTGCTCAAGGCCTATTGGTGTCATGCATGATCATATTCGTCATGACCTACGTCGTATCCCTCGCCGTGGTGATGCTCCTCTTCATAGCCTTCGTTATAATGAACGATATGATGCCTGATCGTAAAATCGCAAAAATGGCCGACTCTGTTAACACCGCGTTGCGTATATCGAAATGATGCTTAATAATTTCAAACAGAACCAATGGCCTAATAATAACACATGAAATGAAAGCTAACGTCAGCCTAAAGATATATTTTCTATGCGGGTGATGTTCTGCGACCAGCTGCTACTTATTAATATATATATATATATTCGAAGCCGTCTAGACTGCATGATTCCAGTGTACAATTTTGACGAAATGTTTTCCTTGAGTTTAGAAATTCGAGATAGTTCTATAAATGCGATAGTATCTAAAAAAAACCCACACAAAAATAAAGCTGTATGGCAAATTACTTATTTAATCCTTACGGGATGGGAATTGGAACAAATCGAGGTGCGATTGCTGCACCGAGAAGGGCGACCTTTGCCAGTTTTTTCAACCTGAAGCCTGCGTTTGTTGGATCTGGGACGAGCGATAGGAACACAACGACGAACGACAACAATAACAAAGCGAGACGATGGCTCATGACGACGACAAACTGACAAAGACACTATCAAAACAGGTATCTGCAAAAAGGGGCAACGAGATTCGAGTCGTGTTTAAGATAATTAACGAAAAGAACAATTATGACATTGATGATCTATGACTATGTATGCAGCAGTTTGGCCGAAAAACGCTAACTCGTATGGATAACAACAACAACAATGCCCTGCACAACATTGAGTTGGTCACAGTTTGGACTCTTCGTAGAAAGTGTGGGGCTCGTAATCCTCAGACAAGCGGCATTTGTGGAAATACACGACCAACGAATGGGTCTGTAAGCTCACAGGGTTGCTACCAAGGGCCAAAATAATATCGCACCAACACTCGGAGGCATAACAAATTTGTCAGTAGCTTACAAGGAATCTTCGGCTACGTAAACGTGCACAGGACATCTATCCAGAATATTCATCCAGTATTCCAGTTTGTTAGAGTTGAAATACGACGTTGATTTGTCGCAAGTGAGTAAAGATTCTCTGTGGGTTTATAGGCGATTCTTGATTGTTATCATACGTCAAGCACGCTGATCTTACCGCAGGACTGAATCTGCGTCGATACTGACAAGCATATGGGTGCTGTTGGCTCTTTTAACTATCCGGCGTTCTGGCACCACATTTAATGGGGAGGCAAAGGGAAAATTAGAGAAAAGCCTCGCAGGGGAAGGTGGAAGCAATGGTGTCGTGACAGCGCAACCCACGTCGAAGGCAGCCCCTGATAGATCGTCTAATCCCCCAAAATGTCGGCATACTTGTCCATTCACCTAGAATTTTACTATATGCACCGAACATGATAGAAAGTCGAGAAAGGAAGAGAGAGAAAACCGTCACCCCCAACTTCAGACAGTAATAGCAATTGCTTCGTCATCGGCAAGCAGCTCAGTCCCGTGAGTGCTAATGGATATGACACGGCGAAAGAATCCAGCTGCTAAGTCTACTACGATAAGCATTACCAGCAACCGAATAGCTGCGCCAACTGCTGCAGGTAACAATGCCAATTTGATCAGCCGAAGACAAATTCGAGCGTAGCCGAGCAAAATGTTCGTAAACCGTCCACATCGAAGGCCTGAGTTGGCCGACGTCGATAGGCGATTTCACACGGCTGGAGTGGAATAACATCCTTTTTTTATTGCTGTGGGGCTGCTGCCACCGCTGCTGAAATAGCCGTTGTTTCGCTTGTTGCCGACGTGTGTGCACCATTGAAGTGTTTTCATTTTGGTGTCGTCGCGCGTCGCTGCTTACAGATTGTTGCCGACCAGGGGCTAAGCAGTCGCCGTCCCCACCGGGTTAAATCTGCCGAAATTTATCCGGAGGGGGGATGGGGGCAATTATCGGTTGAGCTTTAACTCACTGGTTCTAACCGATTACCATGCCGTCAAGGTATATGGGCAAATCAGAGCTTGTTGCAAAAAGGCATTGTCAAATCTATGAACTAGTGGATAACAATAACGTGTCAGTAAGTACAAGTTCTGTACAACGCGGATGGTACCGACATCAAAAGAACCCCATGGAATAATGTGGTCTGCACTGAGTGGACATGGCCCATAGGAGTTCTGGAAGGCCATGAAAAGCTACAATAAATGTGTCTTCAATTGGATAATAAGCTATTCCTCTTGAAAAACGACGGATAGTAAAATGTATAAGAATAAATTTAAAAGGTTTACAGCGTAGAAAATCAACTTGAGATTAGGCCCATCTTAATAGTGCAAAGAGTTAACTGTATTGTATCGAGATCTATGGGAAACCGACGGGGCTCAAAAGGGGTAACCATGAATCGTAGTACGATCGACCGGTAAGTGGCAATTAGCAACTCATGTGAGAAAAAATTGAGATTTCATGAAATGATTCTTTCTCATTCAGTTAGTTTCATTCTGGTTCTATCTTTACTCAATCTATGTGAAAGTACGTCGGTTGGTACCAAATATCTTCGAAGTGACTTAGCGTTATTTTCAAAAAGATATAATCATTATTGATTTTGCTAAAAAAATCCACATATCTTTGAAACAAGCGCGGATACTATTATCAAAACACCGCCATAAATCAGTCAGATAGATAGATATTCGAGCTTATTCCACCTAATCTTATACTTTGCAATGTTATATTTGTCCACGCTTTTCTTTTTAATGTGGCTACAAAAGAAAACATACCTTCTGGTGCACAATCGTTATTTAAAACCAATTCTAGTAGCGGTTTCCACGTACATAACAATTATTTCGTTTAACAAATCTATTTGTTGGTCAATTTTGTGTCGCCAAGCTATAATGATGTATTATTATTATTATTATATAATTGTATATACAATATTCGATAAAATATTTATAGCGCGACCGTGCGAGTGTCGCCACTCAGCCTAGATAATAGCGATAACAAGGTGTGGCAGCGGTTATCATGACCTCAAAGGGGCATCTGTGGTGCAAACGCGCTAATTTTTTCAGCATTTCGTCGCGTTGAAATAAACTGTACTTTGCCACCCTATCGAAATTATAAGTTTATAAAAACAAACAGTGCCCGCCATATCTGGTTTATTATGCAGTTACTTATGAAGCCGAGAAGGCGTTCCATATGCCATTACGGAAAATATAGCAATCGAGATTAACCCAAGGGGGTTGTTTGATTTGTTAAGCCTTTTTTCACGACTTCGTAGTCCCTTTTCAAGTATTGGTTGGTAAGTGGTTTGGCGGGTGAGATTGTTACAAGTAGCACGTAGAGATTCATAATTTACTATAAGATTGTCTATGTAGGCTACAACTACTTGCCTTTTTCTAACCTTTTACATTTTAGTGCACCTTTCGGACTTTTTTGCCTTTCTGAGCTGTAAAACTTTTGGGATTTTCATTCCATTGCTGGCCCAAGGTTTAGATTCATTAAATCGAGATTTTATTCGTGGCATCATTAAAGGAGACTTTAGCAAGTCTAAATCATGGAATACCAAGGGTTACTCCTTAGAAAAGGAAGAATGTTACCAATTTCAAGCCGAAAAGGCTCATATAGAAAATATATGGATACGAGGCCGAGTGCGCGCACCCCATGACTCCCGTAAGTGTCTTAAGAATCTAAGAGCCAGAAACGTAAGGCGTTTCTGATTGGGAATATCCCAAGGGGAAGCCTACGCTCACTCGCGGTTAAGGGCCCGAGTTAAAGTAGTGATTAAAATAAATGGCCCATACGTTTTTTTTTGTTTTTGGTATCTGTTTTCATTTAGCTCCAATTTACAAACAAGCAATATAAATTTTTTTCCCAAAACAACCGTCAGTCTTTTAGACCAGCCCATATAAGGGTTCCATAGGACGCCACTATGTTCCAGGTTTTTAGCTTGATCCCAAAAGTTTGGATGGTTCGGCGCAATCGGGTCCCTGCAGTAGGTACTACTACGGACTACTGCATTTATGGACAAAATGAAAAAATAGGGCGTAGCGGATTTGCTGCGTTCACAGGATAAGAGTACATATTCGGCGGAAGAGAACACAGGGCAAATTTAGTGCTATGTATAATGCACATATTCTATTACTTTACTCTAAACCGTAACATTGTGGTGTCTTTCTTCAGTGTGTGGACAAAGATCGGATCCACGCAACAAACACCTTTTAGTTACTTAGCTTGCTTCTCAGTTGTCCTATTTGCCGTCACCAGTTGAGGCATGTACACAAGCAAACGGGTCATTGAATTACAAATACTTATAATATAAAAACCTTATATATTATTTACGGCACACTTCATTACTACTCATTCGTAACGTTCATATTCGTTCTCCCTAATAGACAAATAATATCATATTGTTTGTTCGATTTAACGTGTACGTTTATTGGCAACATTCTGCGACGTTTTTTTACAAGCATTTATATACAAACACATGTTATTGTCTTCCTGAACCACTGCCATTTTTTGAACAATAGGGACTTAACATTCAACCGATTTGGTTACCTCTCATTAGTATCCCATCGTGCGAAGACACAGTTTGTGGAAAACCTATACACATATATACATTTATATACGAAACACACATACAAGCACATACGATAAATACAAGCTATGTTCATATCGTATAAAACGTGACAAAATCATTCACATTGTTCTGGTTTCATTTCCCCGAACGATACGCAATTGGCACAAACATTTAATAAATATTTACAAAAGCCTTTTTTTCCCACGACATACACAATAGAAGGTGATATAAACATGGCACGTCAACACGAAATTAAGGTGACAGACTCTAAACAAATATATATACAAGATGAACGACAATGGTTATCGTTTCATTGAAATGGGTATCAAGCCTACGGGATCTCCTGGGGTGCTCAGTGGATCGTGACCAGTAGTTGTGTGGGCGGGAATAAATGAGCTATGCCTTATTACGGCCGTACGATGATTGTGTTGCAATTAGGGCTCGCAAACGTTGAATATCTTCTATGACCTTGATACACAGTCCGTTTTCGTTGGAGATATTATACACATGCTGTCAGCTGGATTGTTTCCCTGTACACCTCGACAGGTATACGTCTTTAGTTGGAAAATAAGAGCAATCGTGTGAATGCCAATCAGTTGAGTTGAATCCCGATTCCCAGTAATTTTGCTCAGTAGCCGGTGCTCAAATATGATCGCAGCCTTGTTTCGAGGGTACACACAAACCTGTTGAGAATCTCCGGAAGCGCAATGTAATTCTTTCAAATTTAATTCCATCCGTTGTCATAGTGGTCCCATCTTTGAGAGTGTTCTTGGTCGTGCTGTTCCCAACCGTGATTCCAGCCGTCATCTTGCTTAGGGTATACATGATGTCTGAAAAAATGCATTGTCAAAAAGGCTGTATGAACATTTATGGTACATAAGGCTCAGCATGATACAAACTGACACTACTGCAAAATAATTAATGACTAATTAAAAACATATGCAAGTCGAATGCGGAAAATGCTTAGAAGTACTGATAGTGGCTTAGCTGGTTAATTACTTACGGGATAGGTACAGGCACGAATCGTGGAGCGATAGCGGCTCCGAGTAGCGCGGCCCTTGCAAGATTCTTAAGCCTTCCTGCCTCAGCTGTATTCAGCGACGCGAGAAGAACAACAATGATTACAAAGGTCATCTGAATGATGTTTCGACGGATCATGATGAATTAGCCTTCTGTGAAGATAACCATTTCATATAGACCGAAAAAGTGAAGAAATACGCTATTATGTTATTGTTGAGCTGACTGAGTTGTTATCAAGTAAAATCTATCGATGTTTATGTTAATCATGTCTGTTACTTGGGTGTGTTGACAACTGCATGAAATAACGTGCTTTTTAGGAAAAAAAGCTTGGATGATAACAACGAAACCATCTGGCACCGGTTTTAGGCCGTCAGAAATTTGCCATTGCGAACAGTAGAGGATACTTTTACGTGTAACTTTCGTTCGGGCCCGCACGTTCTAAAAAATCTCTCGCGTTACAGAAGGTACTTCCGGAGTCATTGATTTACGTAGTTCATAAAGTGCAGTTTTGAGATCCTCTAGGTGAATTTAACGTTGACTAAAGTACTGGCAAAACAACGTCGTTCGTAGATAGATAGATAGATAGATAGAGCCAATCAAGACCGTGCATCTGGGTTCTACACGCTAATAAGCGCAGATTGTAAGACGATAATTTACCGGAATTACGCCGCTTAGATGGAGTTCTACATCATATACGAACATTAATAGTGAAATCCTAGACTTGTAGCTTCGTATTTGGGTAAGTGTAGTACAGCCGTTACCAACGGCACAGCTGGCTGTAGGAAGGTCAGGAGATTTATTTTGTGAAAGATCGTCAAAATAACCTCTAATAGGTATCATATATGGTAATATTCAAGAGTGCATCGACAAAAGTCAACGACGAATCAAAAGTATGCGACAAACAACAAATATGGCTAATCTGCGCAGAACTCGGTATTGAGCACAGCAGTTGCGTGCGTTTTCACTCCGTTGCGACCCGTTTCACGTTGACAACATGCGCACATTGAGGCGTAATCCAAAGATGAAGACAAAAATCACTCCTGACCTATGAGCCCATAAATAAAGCAAGCCAACAAGAAAACACTAGAACAGCATCATCTCCTCGAAGCAAACGTGCAGAGTTGACAGAGTACGCAAAATCTTGCTTCTCAGTGCTGCTGCCGCTTGCAGTGCAAAGTACACATCAAGGGGCAATAGCATGTTCGAGTATCGGAATCAGCGATTCCAGACAAACAACCCTATATCAGGCTTACCACTTCGTACGCTGTAATCCCGTGTGCAATATCGGTGAATGTTCAGTATTTCGCCGAGTGTTTATAACCATATACCGACGAGGCCAAATGGAAAGGCGTTACACTGCTGGGAAATGGAAATATGTGTCCCGTCGCAGGCTGCGATCACTTTATTGTCATTCCATTTACTTTCCTCCGGTTTGTTTTCATTATTGATGACCATCAACCATCGAGAGGGATTGCAATGGAGTGTTGCCATCAGAGCACCGGATCAGACAGCTTTAGAGAGGAGGATAGGCGCTTCGATGTTATTTGTATTAGGGAAATACCGTTAGCCGATATTGACGCGGCGAGTTCCAGTCCCCGGCCGGCGACGACTTCTGTTACGATCCCTACGCTGCCGCTACTTCTGCTGCCGTTGCTAACCAAGAATCTGACAGGATGTAGCCAGCAGTAGCCGTAGTACTACTTTTACTACAGGCGCTGAAGATTTCCACGAGGTGTGCGCCCCCGGTGGACTTCCCTAATTTCTCAGTCCATAATCTATGGCGCCACCCACGGGATCCGCAGCTGCGTCGATGCAGATGCCAGTAATCTGAAGCGATTTGGACAATGCCAACAATTCAATACATATCGAGCGATTAGCAAACGTCCATACAGCCACAGAGACAAGCGTCGATTTGTTCGAAGATTGTTTGCCGATATTGTCCGTCGTGACACAATGGAACCTTAGCAGTGCTTGTCTTACACGATGGTTTTTGTAGTTGCGTCGGCACTAAGCTTTCTATGGTTGGTAGCTTACCACGTAACATAAACTTTTTAGATTGTCTAAATGGTTATATAATTAGTCGCACGCATTCAGCCATTAGGCAGACGCAATGAAACGATAGTTTATCGTGCAACGCGGCGTCGACTAAGATAGACAGAGACAGCATTGCATATCTGGATTTGTGCTTTTGTTGAATGAGACCACAATGGGGATAACCTTCAAATAAAAACATCGATTTTACTTTGGATGTATGCAGATGATTGTCGGAAATGTCTCTCGGGTTGCTCTTGTAATTGAAACAAGTGGACGCGTCTTATGATAACAATGAAAGTTTTCCTTATAGATAGAATAGCAGAGACAAATTCGTATGTCAAAATGTCGCGTGATTTGTATTATACGTGTGTAGATGTTTGCGTGTCCGTGTAGTAGTTCGGGTAAGCATACACAAATCTGTTTAGTCAAAATTACTTCGTTGACTATTATATACAGACTACATACATTTGGCCACGCTATGCTATGACCGTACGCAGCGCAAGGGGTACTCATTTCAAAGTAGTGATGAAGCACACCTAAAAGAATTTCCTATTTCATTATTACGACGTATAGGCAATAAAGTTTGGAAGAATTTCAACTTGGTTAGTAATTAGCAAATGGCTTTCAGAACGCTCATTCGAACTAGTGTTATTATTATTATTATTCTGACCTTTTCTTAGTTTTTTTTTTTTTATTGTTTGCACTACGCAGCATATAACGTAGTCTGGCAAAGTGGTAAGCCATCCACCACATACGCTATCACTTTTCATTCTGTCATTGTAAGCATTGTTGAATACCATGTTAGAGTAAAATAGACAAGTTCAATAACGATGGCAAAGCCGTGTTTATGCTGCTTGGTAGACTTATCGTCACGGACGAGCTGCAGTCTCGAAGAACCGTGTGGAAAAAGATTGAACTAGTCGTTTCGGCGTAATTTTAGTAAACTTAGACTTTAAAGTTTATTTATTATATTGTTACGCAATTACCAGCTGAATCTTATAGTATCTACACGGTCCTTGAATAAAGGTAATCGTTGACGATGGCTCACTGTGCGTCTCTGAGTTTGAAAAAATTCACTGTTTATGCTATTGAAAGAACACTGTGCTTACAGTTTAACCGATGAAAAATCACGAGTAATTAACCTTTTTACAATTTATCTCTAATATTTGCTCTAGAATTGGTTTTTCCTTTCATATGCCCCATTGTGCGCATACCGTCTCCTTATTCCCGTCTATCCCGTATTCACAATTACAGTAGAGCTGGAGGATAGACAAACCGATAACTAGAACAACTAACAGTTTGTTTTTGAACTTTAGGAGGCAAATTATCGGAGAAGACGGCGATTGCCTCCGCATATGAAAACTGTGTTCAATGTAATAGAAGGGCGAACAGCTGATATTTGAAAACAGTATGTGTTAGAAGAACGTGTAACCTGGGTACCTGTTCATAGTATAATAAGTTCAAGACAATCATAGGCTTGATTTGTAAATTTCTCGAAATCTGCTTAAAAGCGACCGAAGAAAAGCTAGCGATCAAGATGCGCGATGGTGCGGCATAAGGACAGCCATAAATACGTTTAGAGCCAGTTGTACTGCATCCATTAGAGCTCATACAGGTTGAGACATTTGCAAATACTTGAAGATAGCCATCTTGTCTTTATGAGTGAGAAACAAATAAAGGTATTGAGGTAACCTCATGGAAAGGGTTTGGAGAAGATACTGCAAGTCTTCAGTACCCGTTCATTTCACTGAAAATAGAATCTCAGTCGAATCCGCTGTTTTTTCATAACTCCAAAAGTTACGTCAGTGATCGAAATCGCGGAGCATGCTGTTAAATTTCCCCAGAATACATGTAAATATACTTACATTGTATCTATAATTTTTGTCACAGAATCTCTTTTGCGTAAGAAATATATAAGTCGGAGGAGTCTCACCAATTCAGAGCAGATGCACTCACAGGTTATCTTTCCGATAAGAGACCTTTTACAAAGTTCTCAAGGTATAAGTCCTTCAAAAATGAGACATTTTTCATTTTAATCAATAAGTTCATCATCCATACCGTTAAATCTAGGCCGTCGGCTCTGTGTGTTAAAAAAAGAAACAACTAATCGACAGTTTAATTTACCCTCGAAAAGTTGAAAACTATTTTTTTGTTATCGTTAGGCGCCCGCTTGTTATTCCTGTGCCTTCTATTAGTAGCCAGACACGCGTACATAGACCTTCATTTAGGTTTTCAGAGGTTCAGCCCTGATTAGTCTTCCCAGTTGGCATTTGCGGCAAGTTGTAACGTTGCATTAACCATTGTTTTTTTTTTGCTTCCGCATTCTCTCAATTGCTAAAATGCCGAAAAGCACATTCTGCTTTGCCTGATTGCTGGCAGCAAAATTCAACGATCTTTATAAACGACGAGCATTTATGTCTCACTTAGAACTAGGGACAAAAGCTACGTATAGCTTCAAAGTCTAGTTTTATCTTGCTCTGCTTTGTAATTTGGGAAACGAGATAAAGCCACCTATCCGAAATACGGTATTTGATGACAGTATAATATGATCTATCTATGGGATCTGAATTTGCTGCACAGCTGATAGGGACGCTTCGTAAAATGAAGGCATTTCGACTCCTTTATTAGCTGTTGCTTTAAAGTGTACAATTGTATTTGAACTCGGAGTGAGGTACGAAGGTCGGTTTTGTTGGAATCGAGTATTTGGCTTTAGTTTATAGTTTTCGCAGTTATATAGATTGTACATGCATGAATTGTGTATCTAAGCTCCAATTATGGCCTACTAACGGTTACGCTTCCTTTCGCTGCGTAACTCGTCATTCTTCATTAAATATCGGTAATGTGAAGGATAATGGCGAAGAGAAGGCGCGTTGCGATTCTGCAGCTGACCGTCAATGTCCAAAGGCGACGTACCAGTGGATTAATTGGCTAGTAATTCATAGTACAAACGACTGAGCAACAAAACCAAAACCCCTCTTTATGCCGTTGGTAGTGAAGCTATATAGTCAGTCACATCGTGTGTATATGCTTTCTACTAGCAGTACGACGATAACATGAAGCGATCCGTAGTGGGGGAGATACATATTTTTCGATCCTTTATTATTCTGCACCACTACCGCCCATCCCATACATGCTTCTATGTACACACATCTAGGATCATTTGTTCAATCGAGACCTGTGCATGTTTAGCTGCACGATCAAATCAACGGAGTCGTTGACGAGCAGTGGCAGATCGGCCACTGCCAAGAAACGAAATTGACGAAGATGATAATGTGGACGAACATAGTGGCCCGGAGGCAATAACCCCCGAGCTGTCTTCTCTTGGCTTAATGTGCCACCACGGCCAGTCCCGACGTAATTTCACCCATCAAACGACAGTTTAAACATCCGCCGGAACGTTCGCTCTGCTCCGTTTCATTACGTTCGTACAGTGTGACCCGAAGAACGTGTCGAGCGTTGCCGCTTGCTACTGCTGATCCAGTACAGCCATTGGTCGCCCTACAGACGCCACATGCCTCATGAGAACCGCCATTTCTAGCCATTCTTTGATTCGCCAGCGCGAAGGTGCAAAGCGCCCTACGATGTCGAGGTCATTGGGAACGGTGCAAGCAGCCGCTAGACACTGGCCCGAACCGTTATTATGACTCTTATTACTACGGTTCGTCTCTGTCTGCTGAAGCATACCCGTCTGTGTGTGCATTGTATAATATTAATGGTTGCGAACAACTATCATCAGCGGCGGTGCACATCGTCACAGACCGCTATCGAAACGTAGAAGCTAGGTCTGTTGCCGTATTTCTAATGGCAACAGCAAATTTGTCGGAGTAAGCTGACCATGGCTCTGAATACGGCTGCGATACAGTTGCTGCCGTTGTCATAACGGTCGATGATATACGACAAAAACCAGTTATACGTAGTGGCAATACGTGTATTGATTCATTGATGTCGGCTGCACAGTGGCTGACGCCGTCACCATAGTACTACGAACCTTCTCGTAGTTTCTAGTGATAGTTTTGTTCGACTTTGTGCTGGTCTTCCGTCCGTCCATCATTTGGATCGTTCGCGTAGAACTCTTACGAGCGTTCCTACATGCGCGCGAGACTATATCTGTCTGTGCTTGTTTGATCATCGAGAACCTTCGGCGTAACGAAGCAGCCATTTGTCGACCCATTCCAGTAATAAGCTGCCTACTTAAGCGCGGCGGATGACGCTGCAATGGCGACAAACAGTCAGAGCTCCAGGCGGTCCGAAGTTCGATCTAGTGTGGGTTGGCGGCTATCGTTGTCCAAATCGACATTGC